AATCGGCTCCTTCAATGACTTGATCACGTCCCAGAAGTACACCTTGGCTTGCGCAAAGCACCTTTATGACCTGAGGCTTCAATTCGTGGATCCTCGCGTGGACATCAAGGAGTTCCTCAAAGTTTGTGCGGAGATGGTCTATGAAGACATCGGCAAGACGGTTTCTCACTACGGTGGTCTCCGAATCACAGCCAGTCAGGCCATCGAGTACGCGGCATGGGGAAAGGCCAAACAGTTGGCATGGGACAGAGGGTACGACTCCGAAGGCAAGACATGCTACATCTGCTACTACGATGCCGGGAACTGCGCTTATGCTGGTTTCATGAGAATGCTTTTGACTCCAGAAGAGCGCCAAGAATGCTACAGAGGGTCAGTCTTGCCCAAGGAAGAGCTCCTGGGTGACACGGTGGAGCTGGCGCTCGGGCTTCTTACAATTGCAATGAGACACCCAAGTCATTTTCCGAATTGGGGTGGCCTTGAGGGAGCAAATGCGTGCGCGAGGGGAATCGAAAGATCATTCTTCCGCTACGCGTCGGCCGAAGCTATCGAGCTGATCACGGTTGACTCCCCGCGCAAAAGGACACCGCCCAAGAAGAATGAAGCAGTCGCTGAGATCGTCAACAACATGTCCGCTGACCTCGTGATTGATTTCACAGTGATCGTCGATGGTGATATCTACCCTGTAGAGATTGCGAGAACCGACGAGACACAGGCCGCTGACAACGTCACGGACGATCCAGGGTTCTCAGTTGCTCCACCAATACCTGCACAGGATGTAGATGTGGATGCGCAACCCGAAGAAGAACAAGGTGCAGAAGGCCCTGATCCCAGGCATGCAATTCGTGAAGGATTTGTCGCGCAGCTTCAGGACTATGTGGGAGTACTCGCTCAGGGCGAAATGTCGGTCGGAAGCGACCGCCTCACGTTCTGTGTCGCTTGTGGCAGTGATCTACACACTCTGTCCAATTGCACAGAAAATGCTGCGACCCGGGACCTGGTACTTCGAGGCGTCCAGATTATCAAGGAAAGCCTTCTTCGATATCCACGTCGAGTACCTCCACAAGAGGCTGAGCCAATGGACGTTGACACCACAGACCATGTGAGTGTTGCATCCTCGGACCGACGACCCAAGGCCAAAGCCCGACCGCGACGCGGAGGCGAAGCCGTACGGGGTGATGTGGTCTTGATCCGTTATGAGAACAAACATAATCTCTGCACGGATGTGGAGAACCGTCGGGGCCTACATGATGCTTGTGGCGTGCCACTGCAGGAATCGGGACCAGAGAATAGCCAGCGAGTGGTGGACCTCGTTGAGCAGCTTTCGGACCATCGCGACCGACGCCTACCTCAACGAGGAGACCGTCCTAGCTTTGCTTACGATGATACCACTCATAGCTACGCCAATGCAGGCTACGAATCCATCGGCGGCGGAAGGCCAATCCGGTGCGGGATTCTCGACCTGATCCCAACCAAGGGTGCAAGCTTCATCAACAATCGATGGGACCTCGTGAACGAAGTTGTCCTTCGCGACATCACCCGTCAGCGCAGACTGAACGCGGATTGGGCGCTATCATGCATCCAATCTGACCTGCGCCACAGAATCGCCAGGCGCCCAGGCTCGGAATGGCTTGACAACAGGTGCCAGGTGGCATTCAACAGTGTCATCAAATGTGATGAAGGAGGGTGGGTGATGATCGAAGATTTGGTGAGGCATGAGCCACTATGGACCCATGAAAGCAGACGCATCACCGAAGCGGTCTCAAGGACCGATGAGCAACAGAAGAAGAGAGTGTACAATGAAAGACTTCAGCTATTGTTCCAAGGGAACATGATTGCAGCCACGAAACGCCACAAGGCCAAGATTCGGTTGCAGTTCCTGGGTGTGAGAGTGAAGGACCCCGGCACGGAAACTCTTGGATCAGCAGGTTCGAACAGGTTGGTATCGGTTCAGGACCAGATCACGGAGATCCAGAACAATGATCATTGCCGGCACGGCCAGAGGTACCTGAACATGTGCAACGGCTGGGTGAAGCCATGGGCAGTTCGGGCTACGAGTGGTCACTCTGCGCACTCAGATCCCCAGAACAACTTGCTTCAGTTGGACAAGAACAGGTTCGCAATATCTCCATCTATGACCCTCTTGCAACGTCTTGGAGGTGCGTTCCACGCTACGGCATGCCGCAACTTGGATTCCATTGTCACGCAAGGCATCATGCCTGGTTCGGAGGACCCCGACGGGGACTTCGACCATAGGCGCCAATTCCGAGGCAACCAAGGTGGCAGACTCCACAGCTATTGGGGGGTGTTTGCGCCGTTCGATCACCGGAACGCAACGACCAAGATGCGAGTACATGGACGAGACGCCAAGCACATGCCACTGGCGGTCCTTCATGTCCCATCGCAGGACCTTGCACGAGAAGATGGACGTATCACAGACAGCGGCATCGTGATCGTTGGCCGAACGATACCTTTCCATTTCGTCAAGGAGGTATGGTTTTGCGTCCCGGATCCTCGAGATACACACTCTTTCGCTCTGGTGGAAAAGATCTACGATGAACGGTTGGAGAAAGAGCTGGTGTTGGACTACAATGCATCACCGTTGCTTCCTGAGTTCGAGAGATACCGAACGCCAAGCAAGATCATGGAATTGCTTTGCGAGATGCCTCCTGGACCCCACGACACAAGCAAGGAGCAGATCATTCGAGACCTCACGACTGTCCTGGAGTCCCACAGGGAGAACACGGTTCGGCATCACTACATGGACAAAGGAATCAAGTTTGTCATCAAGAATTGGCGACCCGAAGACCTACGCAGAGACGAGGATGGACGGAGAATGAGGGTATGCCCGGCATGCTACAACATCGTTCCAGCATGTTTCTCCCGATGCACGTCTTGCTGGTCACAGTTCATTTCGAGCGGATATTACCAAGGTTCTCCACAACGGGAGACTCCTACGGAGATCCCCAGTGACTTCATTGCTCAGACAATGGAAGCCGCAGCAGCCGCAGTGCCTGAGGCGCCCGAAGAGGAGCAGGAAGCCATGGAGGTAGAGACCGTTGCGGAACCTGAGGAAATCCCAGAACCATCTGTCATCGCGGAGGACGATCCAGAACAGGAACCTGATGAAGAAATGGACATAGAGCCAGGAGAGGACTTTGATGACGCAGTACCAGAAGCAATTGCACAGGAACGTCGTCCCGTCTTCGTTACCGGCCAGTCTTTGAACATCGATCCTGAGCTACAACTTGCACGTACCGCCATGCAGCCATCCTACTATTCTGGAAAGCGAAATGCCCATTGCATTGACGCGAACATGACCGCTCTTTCGTACATGGCATACGTGGTATGCAGATCCATCTACAAGGCTTGGTCAGGATTCGCAAAGTGGGCGACTATGCCGTTGTTCCAGATGAGGGAAAGTTTCGCACTTGGCCAACGCTATGATGTGCTCGGAAAGTGGGGATCTTTGGCGGCAGTGGATAGGGAAACGGGTGTGAGCAAGGATGTGACTGATGAGGAGATCATTCGCTTTGCCAAGGAGCCTGAGAACCTCAAGCAGTATGATCCCAACGGGACTTACACCTTGAAGCGCTTCCGGACGAACCAGATGCTTTCGTTGCTTACACGGGGAGCCAACATGATGGGAATTGGCAGGGACAACTTCAACCCTACTACTTACTTGAAGAGCGAAAGGGATGAAGATGTGAAGGCTATGCACTTTTGTTGCCTGAACGTCCTGTGCGAGGTGATTCCAATGGTGACGGGACACCAACAATTCTCAGTGCTACGACCAACGCCAACTGGACCGGTGGACTTCTTGTACATCGACCCCGTCGGTATCCTGCTGACTCATTCTGATCAGTCAGTCCAGACCATCGGCTTGCTGGTGGACCACAGTGTGCAAATGCCTGCGCATTTCATGGACAGATTGAACAGATCCAAGGCTGAGAGACAGCAAAACCCGACGACCAAGCGTACTGAAGCCCTACACCACATTTCGGCCGCTGACTATCTCCCTCCAGGTGGTACTTCCATCCTGGACACGCCTGTCACTACGGAGGAACGTGAAAGCGCTTCTTCGGCCAAGGGACCTTCAAAAGGGCGTGGGAGAACCGGAGGTGAGCAGCATGGAGGCTGGAACTCCAACTCCTACTACGACTACACCGCCGGCAAAGGCCGAAACAAAGGCAAGGACAAGGGAAAGCATCGGGAACAGTATCCAGAGGAAAACCTCCGGCCCTGGGACCGCGATCCTGCGACCACGCGAAGATGGAGATGAATCAACGCTTGGTCTTCCTCGCCTATCAGTTCGTGACCTCTGAGCTTCGCCCATGGAATGCCATCGCGAATGCTTCTTTCTTCGGTGACGCCTGATTCGTTTGCCATTTCAGGGGATCGTTACTGACGTAGATGAGTGTCACAACGTTTCTAATTGGGATGCAAAGCTCTGATTTTCAATGTCAACGTTGCGGCGGAACATTTTCTGTTGTCCTATCGTGCCATCTTCCGGGTGAGCAGCGTCGGAGACGCAACTCATGGGGGGTGCGAACGGACTGCGATGCCTTGTCAAGTTCTAAGGTGTCACTATAAGAGCTGTCAGCAAGACCGTGTAAAGTGCAAGAGAAGGGGGCACGCTACGCGTCCCTCGACTCTAAGGGGGCATGCTACGCATCCCTCATCTTTACCTATCTATGTGACCGCCCACGCAACGTTTGGCTCAAGTCAATGCCCATAGCTAAGTGCTATATGTGTCTTCTATCCTGAGCAATCAGAGCTATCCCGTTGCACAGACGAACCGCCGCCGGCAGTGAGTGCAAAAGGAACGACCGCCGGTTCTGCCTGCATAGGATCGCACGTGTGGAAGTAAGAGGGAGAGACAGGGTCCAGTCTGTGGAGAGTGCAAGCCAGCCACACCTACATTCATTACAGCTCTGGTGGGGAGAGCAGCAACCAAGTCGAGATCAATCCCCCACGCATAAACAGATACATAGATAGATCACATGTTGCAGGCGACATTACTTTGGTGTTGTTGTTTCTGAAGATCTTGATGATGATGGTGATGGTGGCGATTAACATGATTATGGTGAGCAAGATGATGATCAAGATTATGGTGATGATGATGATGCTGATGATGATGATGATGCTTATGGTGAGGTCAACGTGTTTTTCAGCATCAAACATCATCATCACAAGCAGCCCAGGCTGGTTTGGCCTTCTGCGAGACACCGCAAAAGCTCAGTGGCAATGTGGAGGGTGACGGACATGCTGTTCGAAAGATCTATGTGAGCAATGCCAAGAATGAAGAAAACTGGTTGCCGCAGTTAGATGACGCACGCAAGCGCTGGGCATCGAAGCATGGAGCTGCCAGCATGCCCAAGTACTGGATCGGTCATATCCGTTTGGCCGGATTCAAGCAGCGGGATGGTTGCGGAGTTGCAAAGCTTCTGCCAGTCAAGCTCATGCCACCCGGAAGCGGTCCGCCCCCAGAAAGTGCAGCCGAGGTTGGCCCGACAGGTCTTTTCAAGCACATCGATGTCACGTGTGTTCGTACAGCCGTACACTCAGATGGGGCCCGGTGTTGGCCGAACCTCGTCAAAAGTTTGCAGACGAAGAACGTCCAGAGCTACAATGTCAAGCATAACAAGCACGAGTTCACAAAGAAGATCCATCTCAAGGAGGAAGTACAATCTTGGCAGGCACGCAGTGTGTTGACCGTTGGTGGCAGTCTTTGGACAGATATGTACCATGCACTGTCAAGAGTAAGCAAGATGGCACGGTGAGTGTGCGCTTACTGGAGTATGTGTACAGCTTTGTCTGGCGTTGCCAACTGAGTAACAAAGCCGACTTCGCCACGCACTTGAGCCGAGTGTGCTGAAAGACGTGCCCTAACTTTTAGGTACCTGAATGTAGCCTCCAGACATAAACCCCAGTCTTGACTCCAAGCTACAAAAGTCCTGCAAATACCAGTACTTTCGAAAGCAAGTCCAACTAGAGATGCCGCAAAACCACGCGGCCAAATATCAACGTGTGACCCCCCTAAGCTCTCTTAGAGAAACATCCAACCCTAGCAACCCCAATCCTCAAACGAATCCATTGCGTAGTGCAAAACTCGATCCGAAGCCGCACCCGAAAGTCCAAATAGCTTGCCCCCAAGCTTCCTGCGAGTGGATCTCTTGCTCTGGTCGGGCATCCTGCAGGAACGAAGGCTTTTCGGTTTGGGCTTGCTTTGCTTAAAAGTTGCAATGATGGACTCCTGCTTTCTCGCTTGGATAATCTGCTTCAGTGCCGCCATTCTCTCGTGCGGCTCGCCCTTCCTGTTGAAGCAGGCAGCTCTACTTCAAGCCCCACACACCGAAATCGAATGCCTCGCACTGTGGTTCCTCTGAGTCCGCTCGCATGCCCACGATGCGAACGATCGTAGAAGAGCCGCCTCGTCCACGGACCAAGCCTGGGCGTCAAGAGTCCATAAATTCTTGAGGAATTTGGATAGGTTTCTCAGGATCCTGCGGTTTTGGCCTCTTTGTCGACAGGATCGTTCAGGCGAAAATGATCTCCAGACCAAAGGACTGCTGCCTGCAACAATGACAACGAACGATCAGTCATGAACCTGTCGAAGTGTTGCAACTCAAGAACAACCAAAGAATGCTTCCGATGTCGGCCTCAACCTCTTTCTTTGTCGGGAGATCACCGGCGAAGGAGGAGCAGTAGGCGGCGAGGATCGGGAAGTTGTGTTCGGAGGTCACCTGGTCCGGGGTTTGATTGGGCATATTGTTTCAAATGTTTCTCGAAGCCCACCTGGTCTTCGCTAATCGTCCTGCTCGTTACATCCAAGAACCGGTACAGGAAGGGTTCCTGCACGAAGGGCATTTGTATTGCTGACCGGCTTGTTTGAGAAACATACACCCTCTTGGGCCTGCGGCTCACCCTTTTGCTTCTTTGGCCTTGCCCTCTTCAGACTTTCAATTCGTTGATTCACATACCCTGGTTTGAGCAGGCTGTCAGGAGCTCCTGAGCAACTTCATCTCACAGTCCTAGTTGTGGCTTCATGCTCAAGGTCTTCAAAATCGATCAACAGTCCTTCAAAAGGGCGAGTCGTCGCGGATTGGGCTTCGAGTCGGGCATCTCTCGCTCGAACAAAATAGCCGCTGACAGCAACGACAAAACGTCTCTCCACTTGACCGCCTCTGCAACCCAAAGCACAGCACGGCGGGAGGAATCACCTGTGGTTCCGAGATCTCCTTGCTCCGAAAGACCTGGGCCAAGCAGGATGCGGCTTCGGGTGTTGGATGTTGGTAGTATGGGGCCCCAGCGACGATTCAGGGCTTGGTCTGCTCGAACCCTCGGCATTGCGAAGACCTGAAAGGAAAAATCAGTTCTCGATTCCACATCTCAAAAATCCAAAAAGATGTTTCCCGAGAAGCGCACCAGCAGGATCGCCCGGATCAAAAGGGAAACCATCATCAGTTGAAAAGATTTACTGATTTATTGCTGTCGTCGAATTGCAATGCAACACGGATGACGGATGATGAGGGCCAGTGGCCCTACCACAAAAGCACAAGTGATCTCTAACTTCGTTTGTTCAGGATCCTATGCTGTGCATGTCGTCACCACTTGATCCGAGCGAAGATTAAGATCACGTCTGCATATCATGGAACAACATGAGCCCACCAGTTTAACGGGTGCGTTTACAACACACCAGTTTAACGGAGCCGCGGAAGCCCAGGGTATATGTATATGTATATGTATGTGTGTATGTATGTACATGGTACGCATGTACGTATGCATGCATGCGTATGATATCTATGTATGTCCGAAAGTAAGTAAGTAAGCATGTATGTATGTGTGTATGTATGTACATGTATGTATGTATGCGTACCTTTTTGTATAGATGAACGTATGTGGACGTGTATTTGTATATGTACATGCACATGCGCATGTGTATGTCATCGTCTCCCCCTAATACGCGGAAACTCCAAAAGTGTTTTCTGTTTTCAAGCGGTGCTGTTTAATCTCTATCGTCACTTTTGCGGGATCCTGCTCTTGCTCCTTCTCTTGCTTTCGCTCCTGCTGTGGCTCGTGCTCTTGCTCCTACTCTTGCTGCCTCTCTTGCTCGCTCCCCTCCTGTTTCTGCTCTGCTCCTGCAGCTCTTTTTTTGAACCTCCTAATTAAGAGTAGCTTTTGAAAGGCCGGGATGATTTCAGGATGACTTCCAGGATTGTCGTGTTACTGCTAGCGGTGTGTTTTATGAAAGGTAAGTTGATTATATATGTGTATGTTTGTATGTACGTATGTATGTATATGCAAATGGCATACTCTGTTGTATTTCAGCTCGAGTCCACCTCGCATGATGAAAAAGATACAGTGGCAGCAGACGCCTGGGGCCACCCATCGGTCCGCCGCCGCCAACACCTGTGAATCGGCCACGGCTGGGCGGGTGTATTGACGAAATGATTGTAACGAGGGAAAGAAAGCATAGAGGGACAAGGCGGGCGTCATGTAAAGAAAGAAAGCCCATCGTAGCTGGCAGAAGTTGAATTCTGTACTGGAAGTCAGAGAATGAACATATGGGAAACAAACTACCAGCACCGCTGTTTAGAGACCAATCGGAAGCTTTCTGCCAAACAAAATCAAAAGAGCAAACAACCCTGTATGTGACGTTTACAAACACGGTGAGCATGGCAAAGCCAAAAGACACAAACACACATTATGGTAAGACAGTCATGGATCCGAACCTGATTAATTGACACGGTTGAATACATGTCGCGGGTGCTGTAGAGGAAAGGTGCAGTACAACACTGCGCTTGCTTATTGTCTGTTTGAAACAGCTTAATGCGAAATATTCACTAAGATTATGCTATTGTCCAAGCTTTGATTACAGCTTCAACAACAAGATTGACAAGGAATGCATGGTTGATGTTCGGTTGCATAGAGAGCTCACCAAGCCTTCTCGCTCGCTTGACGAGGAGCAGCCCCAAAGCCAACAATCCAGGTGCTATCGAAGTTCAAGACTCTCGTTGCAAGCACCGGCCTGGGACCAGCTAAATGGTCGCAGGCAGATTAGACAGACTGACACGGTGTTAATAGGGAGTCTGCACGCATGCCCGGAGGTTGCCAGACCATACTACCAGGGAAGGCCTTCTGGACGCGTTGTGCAGATGCCAGCATGGATGTTGCTCTGGCAATTCAGGATTGCTCTGGCACCTTACCAGAAGGGTCAAACTGCCGCCTACAACTATCCGCACGTGCCTTAGTTGATCCATCTCCATGCCCCGAACTTGCGACCTCTGACGACCATGCTTGAAGGCCAGTTCTTGTTCCACGAGAGCTGGCCCATCGCTTCCCCTTGGACATGCGCCCCCCACTGTTGCTCCTTCTGCCTTCCATCCGCTTCGCTGTCCCTCTCCCTCCCTCCCCCTCTGCTTCTCCCTCTCCCCGTCCCTCCCTCCTGCGTGCAGCAGGTATGTCGACCCCGTTTTTCAAACGTCGGATGCCGCACAACGCATCCGCATGAGGTCGCTCTTTGTACATGATTTTCTGGATGCGCTACAAACATGTCTTGCAAGGGGGTTCACTCTCTTCCCACGGCTGCAGAGTAAGACTCTTGACTGCATCAGATGGACCGTTTGCAGTTTGTCCTGGGCGTGACACCGTGGAGCGATAGTTTTCGACAGTCAGCTGCGAACCACAAGCCGGCCTGTGTCAATGCATGTTCAATCGCGTCGCGGCTAGAAAGCTGTGAAGCTTCACCTGGTCGCATACAATCGCATACATGATATACATGTTGGCTTTTGCCGGCTGAGGTCCTTCGAAGGATGCATCAAGACTTTGCGGTTCAAGCCGGAAACGGGCCCAGAGCAGCGGAGAGCTTCAGAATGAGTGCTTGAGCACGCCCAGCATGTGCCACGTCCCGCAACGCGCAGCGCAGCATCCGAAACTCAAGCGCGTGCTTTGCAGGTGCAAGCTGTAAGACTTTTTCGGAGCCCATGTGGAGGCTGTGTGCATCGCAGAGACATCGAGACCGTGACGCTGCCGTGCCAACTTGATCCAAGACATCGAAGAACAAAGTGTACCGCATCTGCGGTACAAGACATAGTGATGCCTGCGCAGAGCATGGATGGAACATCCAAGACCGAAGATCAGTTATGCCGCGTCCCAGAAATAAATTCACTCGAAATAGTGAAAAAGATTGTTGTACTGGCAGGCGGCTATGCTGCAGATATTCCCTCTCCGAAGAAATTTGCATTGTCCGATGTTGCACTGCGGGGCAGGGTGCATCTGTGTCGTTGAGGATTACGACGAATTGCTTTATGAGGACAGCAGGCACTGACTCACGCTGAGCCCGGCGGACGCAAGGAAACAAGGGTTGGCTTGCGTCATCACCATGATTTATGTCGCCTTCCGAAACCGGATGCCCGGATCCTTTCCCGTTCCTTCACAGTGATGTGGGGGTCTTCAACCGTAGCGACATCCCAATTATCCCTACATGCCGAAGAAGCATACCAGGACCCTGTGGCTCCCGAGACGGAACACGATTGGCCCCCCAGAACATGGACTGCATTGTCGGCCACTGTGCAGTGAACGTGCGTGAACGCAGTTGATGGAAGCAGGCACGCGGGACTGCGGTGGAAAGATGGAAGCATAGCGCACCCCACCACACACGCGGCATGGACAACTCCTAAACCCCTGTAGAGTGACAGGATTTTAAAAGACCCGAGGAGCAGAATATTGTGGGCCTGCGAGGGCTTTCGCCACTTACTGCCGCCCGAAGGCCAAAACGAGTCCGGGACTGCGGTGGCAGTGCATCCGGCACGATTCACAAAGTTCGCGAGCGCTAGTCATGCGATGGGATCGATTTGTGTGCCCGGATACGGCCGGCGCGAGCATGTGGAAAATGAAGTTTGAAATGTGCACCACGCCATGGTGGCAGCCGCAGACGCATCCTTGGGGATGCTTGACACAAGCAAAGGCAGCAGGAGATGTGCTCTAGTTCCAGCTCGCTGGAGAGGCCGAGCAAGAGCTGTGCGAAGCAATAGCAATGATGAGAGACTTTACTAGTCTTGGCAATCGAGGAAATCGTGGGGGGAAGAAGTACATCCGTGTCTGAATGCAATTGTAGAAATACCAACATATTGCTAAACCGCCCTGCGCAACATGCGGGCCACGCTGGCGAACGGCCAAGCACATGTAGATCTTCCGCGCTCTTTCGGACGAGTGCAGGCATGTGGAAGAGACTGCGACCTGAGTCGCCTGAGTCTGTCATATGTCCAGTCGGATTGCAGGGGAGCCTTGTGAAATGGTCATCGAGCGAGTTGGTTTCGCAGATGCTAGATACACTCCTTTTGTTCTCTGCCGACCTGGCGGTTGAGTCTTGGAATGCCTTGAAGCTAGTGACACCTAGTGCAACTGCCAGCCCTCGTCGTTTCGAAACCCTCCCCTTGCACGAAAAGGCCGCAGCGCTCGGACCCAGTTGCAGACTGTGTGCGTCAAGCCGTTCCAAAGGTACCCCCAACCCTCGGAAAGGGAATTGTGTGCATGTAATTACCTGTCCACTCTGCAGAAGACACAACTTCGGCCTGTGCCCAGCGACGAATTTAAGAGATCCTTGAAAAGGCATCTTTGGTGCGTGAGCTAAGGACAACTCTGCTTCTGGTCTTCTCTGGACAGCCGCTGAGTGGTTTGTGGCTGACGGCTCAGCGTAACGGACTTCACAATCTGTCGCATTGTGCCAGTAGCAGCTGTCTGAGGACAGGCCTTCGCCAGTGGCTTGATGCAGTGGCAACTGACTTTCAGCTTCTACCCAACACTCAGGCTGGATTCGTTTTTGGGGCAGCGGCATTCAGCTTGGGGTGGGAAAACTGCAAACGGTTTACTTAATGCTTACTCGTCCTCTTGCTTAATAAGGCAGAAGGACGGCACTGGATCGGACTAATCAATGGACGCCTTTGGACAAGCCTGATTCAGTAAAGGCACCTGATGGAGCTTGCAGTCTGTCAGGTTCTAAAGCTGCACTGCGAGGAAGGATGGTTCAACCGCAGAACCCATCAGCTCACAAAGTTCCAGCTCAGACGGCAGGCCAAACTTGTGTTGCCGTGTGTCATCCTGCGTAGTATTGTCTGCTCCAAGTCGCACAAGGTTAATGAGGACGAGATCTGGACAACTTTCGTCTATCGCGGGAAGTGGAAATGGGAATACGCATGAGACCCAGTCACTCTATGGTTGTAACGGCTTGGCAGTTACACCCTCGACTCCCCTGGAAGTGACGCCAGCATCACTGTACGTGAACATGCTCGAGGAACGCGCTCTGCATCTCTACAACAAAGAATTGCCGGTCGTGCTCTTGCTGGGGCCATAATGCTTTCCCAGAAGCGCGCCAAAAGGTTCCACAGTTTGCGCAGGCTGGATTCCCTGGGATATGTGAGATGGCATGCCCGTGCCCCAGAAAACTGCAGATGCTCTCCTGCCAGCGCCGACGCCCGCTTCAACATTGAGGCAGTTGGTTTGCCAACGTCGGAAGCAACACAGCTCTTCACAGCGCTATCCCGTAAGCGACGCCCTTGGACTTGTTTGGCGGAGCATCTGACTCTCCATTCCCGTTTTCGCTGCAGGCTGGCCCATGAAAAAAAAGCTTTCACGTGAGTGCAGCACTGACACCGCAGAGAGAAAGTTGCACCAGATGGTCATGGCGGAGAGAGCAAAAATAGCACACAGAGCCAACCTCTCGCGTTCCCCTCAATGCTTGAAGAGTTGCGCAGAGGTTTCAGTAGATTTCGCTGCCAGGCCTTGTGCGACCTTGTGCCATGCACAGACTGCTCTTGACAGCCGTTGCGTGAGGCATGAGGTGCCCCGGCTCACCTTCCAAGCTTGTTTTAATTTGTTTCACCAGCCTTTCTCCTCGAGATCATGCCCAGCATTGGAAGTGGCAAGGAGACAAAGCTGGCACAGACTTAGTTCTGGTTGTCAAGTATAGCGGCCAATTGCGGCCAGGTGTTTCACAGCCAATCACTTTTTCCTCTATGCCCTTTCGACTACCAGTCCCACACCCTCCAAACCATTGCACACAGCAGTGAGGAAGTGTGGATGGCTGCTGTGTTGCTTGAATGTAACTCAATGCAACTGAAGCCACATGGACAGCAGTTCCCGCATGCTCTTAGAACAGATCGGTGATGCATGGCTACCCTCAGGCTGTCGGCTGCACTTACACTGCATGCACGTTGCTGCGCAGCCTGCATGATGAATGTGGTCGAGCAAAGCTTTGGCATCGTTGTCTTCGGACTTAAGACTGGCCACGAACTTATCCACAGCAGTCGGTAACTTGTGTCGCCGTGGACCAGTCATCTCGGCATGTTCTGCCTTTGCCGTGGACCGGGCACCACTCAAAAAAGACTTGTGATCCATCAGTTGGAAAAATGAGGGGCTCCGGTGATCTCCGCTGCTCAGACCAAAGCCGACCACGACATGGCACGACAGACCTGCTTCATGTCCGCCGCTTCTGCCTGCATGCATGTCTGAGGTATAGGCAACCTGAACAACTCAGCTCTTGATTTACATCTTCATACCGTTGTTCTTTCCCCGAAGCGCCACGTGATGCACGTGCGACTTTGCAACGTTGCCAAGCTCTCAATGATGTAAGGCAATGGTAAGCTATGGATGTAAAGTGAGTCATGATAGTCCCAACGCCAACAGGAGATTTTTTATATAGGAAATATTCTGCTCAAAACCCTTGAGATGGAAATATGGACTCCTCAGAGCAGCGCCGGCCTGCGGTTGGCAGCTCAGTGTTCGAAGTTCCCACGCAGAATACACCGGTGGAAAGGACGTCTAGTTTTCTTGACAGAGAGGGGCATAGAGAGAAGGAGAGAGAGAGCGAGTTCCGGTCAGCAATACGGGCGCAAAGGGGACAACAGCAGCAGCAGTGGCAAAAAGCTGCTGCAGCTGCAAGGGGGGGGCCTGATCTAAACATGGATACATGCTAGTGCTGCGAGTGAGCCTTTAGGCATTCAGGCTAGCAGTTTGGAGCCAACAAATGGGGGTATAGGCGGTATAAGAGTAGTGGATGTCGTGAGCGGCCGGTGAATGATCCCACACAGATGGCAGTGCGCAGCGGGTTCGGCCTGGTCGGACACAATAAGGAAGGAAGGAAGATGAAGGAAGAAAGAGCTGGATGCTCATGCGGCATCAAGCCAGTCTTGTAAGCTTGCGGGGAGGCGAATGGATCAACCACGCAGTGGACGACTTGTCGCTGGAGAAGTAGGAGACCCGGTTGCTCCTCCGGCAAGGAAGAAGAGCCGCCACGGGAGGGCGGAAGAGATCGCGGCAGGGGCCCAGCTAAATGGAGAAAGCCTTGGCTGCAGAAGAGGGCAAAGACTCGAGCAAGGGAAGGTCAGTTGCAAGGGAGACACTGGCTTAGCGCCTCGGGGACTGAGAAGAGCCTGCACTGATCCCCACCGTAGAATGCACGCAGCATTCCATGGCTCCTACTTCAACTCGGGGGTTGGTGCCGGTTGCGTGTTTTGCTGGCATCGCACGCTGCAGTGCAATCGTGGGTGAGGTTCCGGAGGACAGGCGAGGTCTGAGGCTGCAAGTAAGGCTGCAAGAGCGTGTAGCACGTTGAAGGCCGTTTAGGACAAGCAGGGGATGAGACTAATTACTCGTTAAAGGAGTGACTGTCTGTGTGCGTGTGTGTGTGTGTGTCTGTGCGCACCCCTCTGGTAGCAAACAGCTTTTCTTTTCTGAGTTTCTTTTCAACATAATTGCATGGGGCAGCAGGGAGTCCACAGTTCTGCTGCCAACGAAGACGGCTGTGGATACTCCGCGAAGCAGATTGGGAGGTCAATCTGTGTACCTGCACGTCACTCTGCGCTGGGTTATGGCGATGGGGCTAAGCCAAGAACCCCACAACAAGCTTGTAATGGCGTTCTAGTTACTCCTTCGAGGAGTGTGTGTGTGTGTGTGTGTGTGTGTGTGTGTGTGTGTTTGTGTGTGTGTGTGTGTGTGAGTGTGTGTGTGTGTGTGTGTGTGTTTGTGTGTGTGTGTTGGGGAGGGGAATGTTGCGGGAGAGGAACAGCCACGTCACACAAGCCAGACCTCGACAGGGCACGGGAACGCACAAGCGTGTGCTCTTAATATCTTTTACGTTTCGTCTGCTGCAGAAGAAGACGAGAGAGTTGCACCTTTCGGAGATGCGGCGTGGCACCGCCGGATACCTTGGATGGATCCCTTCGTAGATGGTGATTATCTGGTCCCCGAAGTCACGTACTCCCCTGTTTCTCGTGGGCTGGCTGCTTGGTCGTCATGGTGCTGTCCCCCTCGGAGCTGCGACTGTTGTCATCGCTTTCGAAGAGTCTGGCATTCCTCAGGGCCGTGGAGCCTCCGGTCCCTCCTGCACTGCATGGATGCTGGCGCAGCTATCATGTGCCCGCAGCGCACTGTCACTGCCATCGCGGTTCCTCTGGAGGGGTTCTTGACAAGGTGCATCTCCCCCACGGAACCGTCAGCGAGTTCTACGACTCTCTCAAACCTTCGTCCCAAGGCTAACGTAGCCTAACTTTCAGGCGGGTTGGGGTTGTTTATTGTTTCAGGCTATGTAGCGCGGCTGGTGACTATCGTGGTTGCCGGTTAGTCAGCGATCGCACGGGGACAGTGCATGAGCGACTTGCCTGAGGTCTATCCGTTGCCTGTGCGGAAGAAAAAGAAGAAGAGAGGGTAGGGCACAGGAAACTCCATTCTGCTGGTGAGCTCGTGACTCCGGTGTCCAACAAACGGCATGCTTGACATGCCCCCCCAGAAGTTAACCCGCCGGCGACTGTCCTCTGGCCGAGCGAGGGAAGACTCGAACATTGACGCAGGCTCGGTTTTTAGTCCATGTTCTTAAGACCTGCAAGTAACGGGCACAATCTTGGCTGGGGATGGATGAAACATATCGAAACTCTGCCAGCGTCTACCGTGTCTACAGTGCAACTGGTACTGCAGTGATCAGTGTGCTTGTGCAAACACGTGGCCGCATGCTTTCAGGCCTATGGGCCTCGACAGACCAAAGCTGGAATCCCAGGGCTGAAGAGAGCTCAACCAAAGAAAGTTATCATGGCTTCGCATGTGTCTTGCAAAGGCAGGACAGTGGCACGACAAAGAGATCGAGGGACAAAGCCTTGATGATGTTCTTTAGTGCGCTTTTTGTTGTGTGTTTCAGCTGCACTCAGGCTCGGCTATCAACTGCACCCCTTGGTGATGAGCCCAAGGCCGCACGGAGCATCTCTGCGAGTTCGGGCAAACGTATCGAGGGTCAACCTTCGACTCAGGTTGGCATGTGCAACTGGTGTCATCATCTGCGATTTGCGCTGCAGGCGAGTGAACCAAATAGGTTTTGAAAGGGATTGACAGAAGTTAATGCCATGTCCTGACCTGGCTGTCTTCGATGAGCACCGGTGGTACAACAGCATGTCAAGTACTCCTGGAACCGACAGCTTTCGATTTAGCAGGTGACCACAAAAACTCGCTGTTGCTGTTCCAAAGGTGTTGGCAGGGTGCTCACCGTCAGGAATGACAGCTGCATCGCCATGCCACATTACATCGAGTCGTGCACGTGCTGTACCTGAACGGATTCTGGGAAAAGTGCAGCCCAAGCCCATATCATCTCCAGACAAGTTCATATTGATTATGAGGAGAAGTGCGGGGGCCCTTTTTGTAACACTGGGGAGAGAGCTTCCCTCCCGCTGAGACGATGTTGGAGACGGAAGTCTGGGGAAGGGAGGGGCTGAAGATGGCATGTTTCCCTGCGTGTCTGGAATTGGCTTTTGCATGTGCGGATTGGTTCACTAGATGGAACCCGACGCAAACGGCCGTGTGCTTGGGAACAAGACCAAAGCAGCAGGTTGTGCAAAATTTATCCTCAGTACAGGGCTTGCTGCCGTTGTACAGGCACTGATGTCACGGACGCATGGGCACAGCAACGTCAGGGCAGCGACTTCTACAACAGCTCGTTCGCTTGGAGAGTCCGACAACTTATGCAAAGCCGCTGTGTCTCCACGCGTCTTGTCTGAAAGTGGGGCAGAAGATGTATTGCGAGTACTTCTAGGTCTTAATCTTCAGAAAAAGACCGTGTTTCGTGGGTGCTTACGTTCAGAGTAAACGGTTTGATTTGTGAGGGATTGTGAGGGTGCGAGGCGCCCGTGACGGTTCTGCGCTGTTCTACGGCTCCCGACTTTGGGATCGCCTGAGATCTCATGTTCATTCTGCCTTAATCAGGCGAAGTCACCAAGTCCTGCCATGGTGGCACTGCTGGAGCTCCATTGTAGTGCTTGCACTTGTGCCATGCACATGCGCAGCTCCGACTACGGTCGTCGTGCTTGTGGCACAGTTCCGTCACCGAGACTTCAAAACTCCGCCCGCCCCGAGCAGAGGGTGTAGTTAGTAGTTGCCTGTCCAACGACAGGGCGATAACGTATGGACCAGAGTCCTTGCGTCTCTGCCTGTTGCAATCGTGCACATCTTCTGCCGCCGACTCGTGCTCCTGCCACAGTGTGGTGGACATACTAGGTTCATGGGATGTCATGGGCCTGGGCAGGTCTTAGAGGCCTCCGGGTAAGGCTTGGACTGTTGAGGGCTGCCAGCTGCCTGGGTGCTCTGTCGCTGTTTGGAGT